AGAGAGAGAGAGAGAGAGAGAGGAGATTGGATTTATACCCCACCCTTCACTTGAAGTCTCAGAGCAGCTTACAAACTCCTTTCCCTTCCCCTCCCCACAACAGACACCCTGTGAGGTGGGTGGGGCTGAGAGAACTCTGACACAAACTGCTCTTTTTCAAGGATAGCTGTGCCAGAGCTTGTGACTGACCCAAGGTCACATCAGCAGGTGCAAGTGGAGGAGTGGGGAATCAAACCCGGTTCTCCCAGATTAGAGTCCGCACACTTAACCACTACACCAAACAGCCCTGCTGCCGCTGGAACTTATATTAACAGCCTGTGCCAGCCGTTGGAAAGACACCGAAAGACAACTACAGAAGACCTGCAAGCCGGCTTGGGAAGTGAGAGCCAATGGTAGCCATCACGAACTCTGTAACAGAAAATCTAGCATTTATTATGGAATTGTAATCTGGTTTTAATGCTGTCTTAAATGATTCATTGTATTATTTTTAAATGTTTTCTACTGATTTTATGTAAGCCACCCTGAGCCAGCCCTGGTTGGGAGGGCCGGGTAGAAATTTGGGGAAATAAATAAATAAATAAATAAATAAATAAATTTTCACTGCGTGACTGAAAGTAACCTCCGGCAGCCATTTTGTGACTGGCCCTGCCTCCTTCGACAGCCATTTCGTGGCAGCCATTTTGTGCTCTGCCCACCACACAGTCTCAGGATTCCAAATGGGCTCAAGGGCCCCAAAAGGTTGGGGACCCCTGGATGAGACTATCAGGAGTATATAAAATTAATGAAATAGATGTTTTAAAAAAACAGTGTGCTCATGATCATTGGCTTACTGTTTCGTTAAATAAAAGAACGCTCCTGGCTGCCACCACTCCACCGCTGGCCCCAATGCCCCTGCTCACCTTCATGAGATTCGGGAGTTGCGTGGTGGCCAACTCCTTGAACTCATTGATCGTCAGTGTGTTCTTTTTGCCCTCACGGCTGGCACACGTGAAGAAGGCAGAGACGATTTTCTCAATGGCTGCCTCAAGCTCGGTCAGTTCGACGCTGGCCATGATCCTCAGGAGTTCTTCCGCCTGCCGGGATGTTCGGTTGAGGGATGGGCAGGGGCAAGTGTCAGGGATGTCTGCCGTGTGGGTGGGGCGGGAGACGGGGCAGAAGGTTTGCACTGTGAAGAGAAAAGAGAGGGAGGGTGAGATGGAAACCAGGGGAAAAGAGGAAGGAAGGAAGGAAGGAAGGAAGGAAGGAAGGAAGGAAGGAAGGAAGGAAGGAAGGAAAGCAGAGTGGGAGGCAGGCAGGAAGGAATTGAGGCAGACGGGAATGCATGCAGTGAAGAAGGAAGGCAGGGAGGCAGGAAAGAGGTGAA